GGCGGCACAGGAGGAGCAGAGCAGGAGCTGCCAGGGCCTGGGGAAGAAGTTGTGCTGGTGAGCACGCAGACCCCAGCAGGCAGTGGCGCCACAAAGGCCCCCAAGGCTCCAGAACCATTGCTCACGGCGCCCCAGCAGAGGGGAAGGTGCCTGGGCAGAGCCCCAGCAGCCACTGCACGGCTTGGTGGAGATGTGGCTCACAGCCCCCAGCAGCCGGGGAGCTGCTGCTGTGGATGCTCACCCTTCCTCTTCCCACTGCTCCCGGCCTCCCCTGTACAGGCACTGCCTGGCATCGCAGCGGCCATGCAGCTGTGGCAGTGCCAGCTCCTCCTCCTGCTCCCAAGCCGGCTTTCTTCAAGAGAAAGTAGGAAAGAAAGGTCACGAGCTCATGGGGCACTCAGCAAGTGTCAGTGCTGATGCTGGGACAGGGCTCAGGGGCATCCCTGGCAGCAGGCCAGCATCCTCCTGTCCCCCAGGCAGCCCCTCTTGTTGGGGACAGTCTGCCTGGAGGGATTAGGGCCAGCCTGGCACAGCGCTGGGGCTGTGCCCTCTCCTGCCTTGAGTGGGGTGGGAAGCAAGGAAGGAACGCACATGTTTGGCACGCGGATTCCCATCTGAAGCATCTCAGGGACAAAGCGCTCCTGGTCCCGGCAGTGGGGGCACGCAAACTGCCCGAGGCCCGCCCGATACGCCTGTCCCTGTGGAAGAGAGACTCCCCGTGTGAGCAGGACGCCACTCCGGGCGCATGGTGTCCCTGCGGGCTGTCAGAGGGAAGGGCCTCCTACCTGGATGCAGGCCCGGTGGAACCAGGCGTGCTTGCAGGAGGGGCACACCATGGTGGTGTAGGACAGGCTGTCCTCCACCACCTCCATGCAGATGATGCATGTGGTGTGCCCCTCCTGCAGCGTCTCCACGGTCTGCTGCGGGCGGTGCTCCCAGCAGAAGGAGCTGCATGAGGACGGAAGAGTTGAGTGAGGCCAGGGACCACGCGTGCCACACCGGGGACTCTGCCTGCAGGGCGCAGGCTGAGGGGGCTGCAGCCCAAGCTAGGGCAGCTCGTACCTGTACTCCCCAAAGAACTGCGAGATGCAGCCCCGCTGGGAGCTGCAGGGAAGGTGGAACCGGCGCGAGCAGCGCTTCTGCCGGCAGGCGACGGTGGCCCCCTTCTTGCGGCAGACGCAGCAGCGCTGCAAAGAGCACAGCAGCCCCGTCAGGGACGTGGCCGGGACCACTGGGACTTGCCCGGAGCTTGTCCAGAGCCTCGAGGATTTCTTTGCCAGGGCTTGGGCTCAGCTGCCACAAGCCTCGTCTGCTCAAAAAAAGCCCTCACCTTGCGAGCTGCCCGACCCGCTACCCGCCTGATATCCGCGCAGAGGAATCTGAAGATTCCTTCCCCTTCAGCGCCTCGCTGGTACAGGCCCTGGGCTGGATACTGGAAGACAGAAAAGCCCCGCAGCTGCTCAGGGCAAGGACATAGGGACCATGGTGGGGAGGCTGTGCTGGCAGCGCAGCAGGAGGAGGTGACAGCCAGCGAGCAGCGCGCTGGGGATGACACAGGCCTGTGGGCTCCAGGTGCCAGGCAAGGGCTCGGGGAAAGGCGCGGGCAGCCGCGGGGAGCTCACCAGGCAGTGCACGTGGGCGCAGACGCCGTCCACCTTCAACATCAGCCCGCAGCCATCCAAGCTGGTGTCTGAGCGGTGGCACAGCACGCACTCTGGGGGAGGCAGGGCGGCAGCCATGGATGAGAGCATCCCCCCACTGAGCACCTGGCAGGTGTCCCCGAGGGACGCCCGCAAGGGCCTGCTCGGGGGCTCCTGGCAGGGCGTCCCCGGGTGTCCACAGCCCAAGCGGCTCTGCACAGCCCCAGGGGGTGCTCAGGGCCCTCCACCTCCAGGGAGCTGCTGGGGCATCTGCTCTCACCGTCCTCCTGTGCCTCAGGGGCCTTCTCCTCCTCTCCGGCAGCCATGCTGCGCAGCAACTCCTCGCCTCGCCTGGCCTCGCCTCGCTGCCAGGAGCTGCTGCCTCCACGCCTGGCGCTCACTAGAGACGCAACGTCCCTCACAGCCTCGCCTGTGTCACTGGTGTCATTGTGATCCCTCCGTGTCACTAGGAGACCATGGAATGGTGGATGATGCGGCAGGGCCCAGGAGCTCCCCCAGCCTCACAGACACCCCCTGGGCTTCCAAGCCCACGGTGCAGCCTCTTCATCCCCGTGAATGGCCGTGGTGGCTTGGCCTAGGCTGGCGGCCAGGTGCCCACCCAGCTGCTGTCTCGTTCCCTCCTCAGCGTGACAGGGAGAGAAAACACGAGGGAGAAACCCTCGTGGCTTGTGAGGAGGGCACAGGGAGATGGCTCACAGGCTGCTGTCAAAGACAAAACCATCTTGGTTTGGGGAAAACTTGTTTGATTGACTTCCAATCAATGAGAGTGTAAAGCAGTGTGAATTAAAAGCAATCTAAAACCACCTTTTCCCCACCTCTATTCTTTGGCCTCCTCCCCTGAGCATTGCAGGGTGTCAGGGAATGGGAGTTGTTTCTCCACTACGTTCTCAGCTCTCTCTCTCAGCTCTGTCACCCAGCACTTTCTCAGCCTTTCTTCAACTGCTGTTGGGATGTGCTGCTGGAACTTGAGGCCGGGAGGTGAGGCTGAGCTGTGGGAATGAGATGTGAGGCTGGGACATGGACCTATGGTGTCAGACCATGATGTGCATTTGGGACAAATCATTTAGGAATGCCCACTGTGGAAGGGAGAGGACGGATGGATGGGAATGGCTGTGGGTGGCACGTGCCCATGGGAGACATGGGGAGTGGTGGTAGGGTGCTTCTCATGGCATGGGGAAGCAGACGGAGCTGCTTTGCAGGCAGACAGGCACATACGGATCCGTTGTATCACATCTCTCTTCTGACTCCACTCTTTTCTGGTGCTGGCTGTTTTGTCCCCAGATGGGGACTCAGCCAAGCCTGTAGGTACAGGGCAGGATGTTACTGTGGGGGGCGTCTCGTCCCCATGGGGCTGGTGGGGAGCAGCACCCTGTGGCCACCCATGTGCTCTAGAAAATGCTGCCAGCACCTCCAGCTGGGAGAAAAGTCTCTTGTCTGGGGGGGACACACCACACTCTGCTGCAGGTGGGAATCAACGGAGGGAGGACATAGGCAGCAGGACGGGCAAGGTGTGGCTGGGGTGAGGGAACTGGGATCTGTTGTGAGCACCAAATCATCCAAGAGAAGAGCAAATGGGCACATGGCTGTGTTGGTATGAGTTCCTGCAGGTTTCTGCTCTGGTGCTCCTGTGGTTCTAGCATTGAGAGTACAGTTTCTTCTCTTCCTGGAAAAGCAACCAAGTAACCCAATCTGAACATCATTACTATTTACTTAATATTCTTGTGTAAAAGCAGTCACAGTTTGTGCAGAGAAGAAAACCAGGAATTAATTAGGTCCTGGGAGAAATCTTTGAAGGACAGCCCTCTAGGGGCTACTAATGGGACAGGCTGAGGACAACCCAGTACAAAAAAAAAAAATCAGTTTTCAAGCAGTGGAAGTGCTTGAGGATGTTTCTGTACTCCACTTGTCATGTTCTGTATGTTCTGGGATGCTCCTGCTCAGCCCGCATTGGCCAAGTTTAGAGCATATCACAGGGAAGTGGAGACCCTGCCTTTAGGGCTGTAAAGTCATGCTGCCAAGTTGCCTGTGAGCTTGGGGAGAAGGAAGGGTATGGCCATAGGAGGTATGGGAGAGGAAGAGTATGTGGGAAGTAGGGGTTAAGGAGGGCTGTTGGTGGACACTGTTGGACGGGGAGTGATAGAGGTGTGAACCAGGACAGAGAGGGCTGTGGGAACAGACAGGAGAGGGTTGGACACCGCCTGTGCAAATTCATAACTGCTGGATTTTATGGGTTATTCAAATCTTTTTCACTGGTAGGAAGTGAAAAGCCAGTGCTGCACAGGACAATGACCTGAGCCTTCACACAGGTGAACACAACCCGCTGGCCTGAAGAGCCAGTGACAAAGCTGGCCACTGCAGCTCAAGAAAGGAAGCCTCCTGCCCTCTGCTGGCAAGCAAGGCATGTTTCAAAGGAGCACTGGGGGACACCTGAGAAGAAACGGTGCCCACTGCCTAGCTCACCAGCTACTTCCAGGTGGCTTTATTTCACGTAAGGGAAGGATCTTTTGGCCAAGCAGCAGTATACACAACTCGCAGAAGAAACCATCTTGACTCTTGCCAGTTTCCAGGCCACAGGGGAACTGCAGCTGCGTGCCTGGAGCACCTCCTGCCCTCTTGCACTGCCCTCAGGAGCTCAGGGCTGCTTCTCACTCCTCTCTCCCAGCTGCTGTTGTGTTGTGCAGCAGGTTTGTTTGTTTGTTCCTTTCTTAAATATGCTCTCTCAGAGGCACAAACATCGATTATGGGCTGGGCTCTGGGCAGTGCTGGGTCCCTTTGCTGCCAGCAGAAACTGGCCCTTATTTAATACGAGGCAGCTCTTGGATCCTTCTCACAGAGGCCGGGCCCGCTGCCCCCTGCTACCAAACCCTTGCTGTGCAAACCCACCGCAGGATTTCAGGACCTGCAGGAGCACCCCCAGCCCTCCCTCACTTTTTTCCCTTGCCAAAGCGATGGCAAGGCTGCGAAAACAAGGAACGGGCATGGTGGGAGCCCAGGGGCACCCAGGGGTCTCACACCACCACGGGTGCCCCCCTGGGGGGGGGTTGGTGATAACGAGGTGTCGCACAACGAGGCCGGGGCCGGGGCCGCTGCGGGCGGTGCCCGGGCAGCCGCTGCCCCTCAGGGCCCCCCCCGGCGGCCGTTGGCGGTGGGAGGGGGCGCGGGGGGGGGGGCAGGAGCGCAGGTAGCGGGGAAGGGGCGGCCGGGGGGGCACGAGGGGGAGCGGAGCGCCCCGGGGGTACTGGGGATGGAACGGGGGAGCCTCGGGGGTGGTGGGGGGCAGCCGGGGATGCTGCAGGGGCCAGGCTGGGAAATGGCGGCGCCGCCCCCCCAGCGCAGCCCCACCCGTCCCCTCCCCTCGTTTCGTCCCCAGATGTCGGCCGTGAAGCAGCGGAGCGGCCGAGGCGATGCCCAGGACGCTGCCAGGGACTCGCAGGCCCGGCCCGGCCGCGTCAAGCGCCGCAGGACCAGGGGGGAGCGGAACCGCACCAAGTTCGGCCCAGGCCTCCCCAGCAGCACCAGGCGGCAGGGGCCGAGACCCCCCTGGGGGGGCGTCCCCCCGCTCCCCCGGCCCGCCCCCCCCCAGCACAGCCCCCTGCCGCCCCCCCGGCCCGTCATCATCACCCAGCAGCGCCTCAGCCGCCCCCGCGGCCTCCTGGGCCGGGGGGTGACATCGGGGGACATCCAGCGCCTGCTGGGGGGCGGGCAGGGGGGCGCTCCCCCCCCGCCCGAGGGGCCGGGAGTGCCGGCAGGCAGCCCCCTCCCCGAGCCGGGGCTGGGGAGGGACGGGAGGCCGTCGACCCCCCGGCCCCAAGTCCCTCGAGGACCGGGGGGGGAGGACGGGGGCTCCTCCAGCCCCCCCAGGACGCCCCCCCGGGAGGTGCCCGGCCGCTTTGGGGCCCTGCTGCCGGCCCCCGCCGAGCTGTGGGGCCGGGCCCTGGCGGAGGAGCGGCGCCGAGCCGTGCTGGCAGCCCTGCTGGAGCGCCACCGAGCCCTGCCCGACCTCGCCGCCCTCCTGCCCCCCCGGGCCGTGGGGCTGCCCCCTCCTGTGTCACCCCCTGCCTCCCCTCCCTCGCCGGGGCTCTGCACCCCTGAAATGGAGCCGCTTTCCCAGCCGCTGCGCCCCCCTGCACCTCTTCAGGCCGTCACTCAGGTGGGTGACCGAAAAAACGTATTTCCTCCCCCCCAAAAAACGCCATTTCCCCCCCCAAAAAATGGTGATATGTCCCCAGCTATCTCCTTCTCCCTGCTGCCAACCACACTTTGCTCCATCAGGCACTGACCTCTGCAGCTTCTGTGTTGCCCGCCCCCCAGTGTTTACAGTTCTGAGACAAAGAGGAACAAGAGTCTCAAACAAACAACAAACAAACAAACACCCTAGCTTTTCCCCAAAATACACCTACTGCCATTTTCTCTCAACTAAATGGTGATGCTGCCCATACCTGTGCCCCTTTCCCTGCTGCTAACCACACTCTCCTCCTGCAGGCACCAACCTCCCCTTCCATGTTCCCTCCCCCTGATTTCAGCCCTGAGATAAGGAAGAGGCAGGTAAGTACCTAACTGGGGGTGTCCCCATCCCCAGTGTCAGGAAGGGTCAATTTATGCCCCACTCCCTGCAGAGCTGTTTCCCCTGGATGGTGGAGGATGAAGACGAGGCACACTCCGAAAAACCCGCCATGCAATTCTGCGTCCGGACCCCCTCACCACCGCTGTTCAGGGCCCGCCACCCTGCACCTTCCCCTGCCACCTACCTACCCGCAGGGCGCTGCACTCCCGAACCTGAGCTGCTGCCCCAACCAATGCAGAGCAGGAACCCAGCACCCCAGCACCGCTGGCGCCGTGTCTCCCCACCAGCTGTCAATCAGGTGAGTGCCACAGAGAAACTGCTTTGCCCCCAAACAACATTTTCTCTCCCTAAAATAGTGATGTATCCCCACCCCACTTTTCCCTGCTGTTAACTGCATTCTTCCCCTGCAGACTCCAAGCCCCCCTGCTGTTCCTCTGCCCCCTGTTTTCGGTGCCAAGAGGAAGGAGAAGCAGGTGAGTCCCCAGAGGGGGGTGCCCCCCACCCCAATATGAGGAGGGGTTGACTTACAACCCCCCACCTTACTGCAGAGCTGGCTCCCCTGGATGTCGGAAGATGAGGATGACACATACCCTGAAGACCCAGCCCCACTGTTCTGTGTCCGGACACCATCTCCACCACTGTTTGAGGGGCTCCCCCAGCCCCACATCCCCCTGGGGGAGCCAGGCTGCACATGCCGGGCAACATGGGGCCCCAGGGTAGAGGACAAAGCAGAAGGACATGGCCAGATCCACTGGCGGTCCCGTGTGCCACAGCATCACCGGGTGTTAGAGCATCCCATGTCAGGGACACATGCCCCACACCACCCCTGTTGGCGCCACAGGGACCGACGGACACCCCCTGCTTTGTACCGGGGCACATGCCCCTGTGCCCCCTCCCCATCACACCACCCCTGCAAGCACAGCCCTTGTCCCCACAGCAGGCCTCGGCATGCCACGAGCTTCCCCACGTGCCGCTGCTCACCCCCTGAAAGCCACCGGCCACGGGGCTGGAGGGGGCTGCCGGAGCCACGGCAAAGGGGGTGGCACCTTTCCTTCTGCCCCCATGCCACAGTTCCCCACAGTGCAGGGGATAGGGACTCTAGCCCCAATGTCTGGCTCTTCCCCTGCCTGTACTGAGGGACACGGGTAGGCATACTTTATTGGAGTAACCTCCCTGTGCTCAATAAAGGCTATTACACCTTTATGTGGCTGCGTCCCTAGTTGTCTCCTTATGGGACCCCATCCTTCCCAGCTCATATTCATCCCGATGGGGTCACAGACTGGGCATCCACAGCACCAGTGGTTTGGGGTGAGAAAAGCTCTTTTTGGGTCTTTTCAGAGGGCAACCAGGGACTGGCAGGGGTGGGAGGTGGGGGAGCTGCAAGCCAAGCACAACTGATGGCTAACGAAGGCTTTATGAGTTGTTAGGCAGCTCTGGAGCACTGCTTGGATGCACGCACACCACATACACAACCCCATACACACCCCCACACACACTGATGCACCCTCAATGCCCGGTTCAGGCCAGCAGCAGGGGGACAGCAGAAGGTCCAGGCACTGCTGAAGCTGGTCCCACCCTCTGACTACTATCCCTGCTCTTACCCTGGCAAAAAATTGATACCGCTGGGGGAAATCTGAACAGTGTCAGAAGTGACTACAGAGCTCTGTGAACAGTAGTCTAGTCCCTGTGGTGTTTTCAGTTCTGCCAGAGAGGGAAAAGACTGTGAGGAGGAGGGCACTGGTAGCACAAGTTAGTAATTGCCTGCAGAACTGGTGTTGGTGACAGGGTTTTGCTTTCTGTGACCCTAGGACCATGCTTGAGGACCGGTGTCTGCTTGGGAGAAATGGAATCCGCCTCTCTAAGCAGAGAAAAAATGTTTCTGCCAAGAGGATGGCTGACCTCATAAGGAGGTCTTTAAACCAGGAATGAGGAAGAGGGGAGAGGGTAACCAGCAGTCCCGTGGAGGAGGGACAGACAGGGTTGCTGAAAAAAGCACATGGGGTAGTGTGAGGAAGGAATCACAAAGCCAACAAAATGTGCAGTAAGCAGGGTCACCTCTACCACTTGCAGGTAAGCAAAGAAGTTCCTGCGAGGCACTGTTATGCAAAAAGCTCCCAGTGCCAGCGAATTTGACTTTTGTACTGATTAGTGTATATGCTATGATGAAATGCCCCAGGGTGGCATTATGTCAATTATATTTGTATGACTGGCTATATCAACTCTCTGTCACACAGAAGGCTGTCCGAAGCTCCTGCCGGTACAGGAAATGTAGCACTTTGTACAGAACAGGGAAAACAGCTTCCTGCCTCCAAAACAGGCAGCCAGTTCACAGATTTATGAATTCAGTTTCTCTGCTTTATGTTGTTAAAGACAGGGGGAGCTCAGTAGCAAATATCCTGCCCATCTCCCAGGGCTGGACACACGGTGTGACTGCACATGTCCTTCAACACAGGCACAAGGGAGCCATGGCAAAGGGTCGTGGTACTTGGCAGGGCCTCAGACCATCCATGCAGTGCTCTGTTGTACTGGGACTCTCCTCAGCAGATCAGGAAAATTGCTATGTAGCCCCCAAAATGGACCACAGGGGTCCCTGCAGCAGGGCCCAGCTGAGGCTTTCTCTCCTGGGCAGTACCTGGCAAAGGCAAGGCAAGCTGCAGGCATGCAAGAGGATCTGTCTTCTGCAGGACAGGACTGGCTTCAGATGGAGCATGGGACAAACTGGTCTCAGTCCTTTCCAACCATCCTTTTCAAACAAAGGTGGGAATTGGTGCAAAGGAGCTGTAACATGCAGCTGCAGACTTGAGTGGAGAGGTCTGATGTAAAGAGAAGGGATGAAAATCCTAGGTGTGCTTGAGACAAATGGTGGAGCTGGGAAGGCGAGGAGAAACCTGGCCCATGTAGTGCCTGAGTTCAAGGAAACTGCCTTAACCAAACTGTCCAGACCTCCTTAGGACTCCTTCTGCATCAATATCACTTGGAGAACGTTGTTAACAAGCATTCTGTAAGTGGGAAAAAAAAAAAATGAAGGGAAAAAGTAAAAAAGGCTTGAATAGAGACATTCTTTTACAGAACCAGAATCACCTTTTTTATTAGGTGTTTATTGAACTTTTTAGTTTAACTGCACATCACATCTGAAACTTCTCCAATTAGCTGGCTGAGTCTTGAAGACTTGAAGACAAATATGGGAAGAGACATGGCTTTTTGTTTTTTAATGAGTCCCACGGTGTATTTGGTATATGGACCTCAGAGACTGAGAGAAGACTGAACAAACCCCTGAAGAAGTCAACGTTAGAAGCAACCCCCCCAGTTTCAGGGGGTATTAATGGATTCCACTGAGGGCCAGTACCAACAGAGGGTCCCCATGGACTTGTTAGATGAGAAAACTGGAGGCAGTGATCATGGGTAGGCAAAGGCAATGTAGAGGTGGTGCTGATGCTAAGTAGCCCTTGATGTGTTACATTAACCCTGACCTCCAGGTCCTGGGAAGGGAGATCCTGTCCCTCACATATCGCTCAGGGCTCTTCCTGGTGTTGTGGAATATGGGAGGCGTTCAGTGCTGAGAGCAGGACTACAGGATGATGCTTCTGGGACTCTGCCGTGTGGGGCAAAGAGATAATGGCATCCTAGTGACACCAGGTTAAGGTTTCTCCTGGTAGGTCTTGGTGGCAGAGACCTCAGCCATAGCCAACAGGAGAAAGAGCTTCTGTTGGGTTTTGGTAGGAAAAAGGTTCTGTTGGGAGCTTTCAGCATCACTGTAACCCTTGGCCCCTGTACCACAGGCTCTCCTGTGCTGTCCCATGCCTTCACCTTGCAAGTCTGTGGACACCCAGTCCTCTTCTTCTCCTAAACATTACCCCAAAAGATCACTGTCTTTACTGATTTCTCTCCTTCCTCCCTGGCTATTCCTTGAAACATGAAGCCCTGGGGTGACCCAGACCCCCTCTGGGTGGCCTGTTGCACCACGACACATTAGAATGACATTTCTTTTTCCTCATGTTTGGTCTCAGTCTCCCAAGCTGCACTTCGTGGCATTCTTCCTTTCTCCTGATTCTTTCCACTCACTACCAAAATAAGCTTCATCCTCTCTGAAACCATCCTTCAAAGATTTTTTTTTTTCCCTCTTGGCTGGTCTGCCTGATAACCATGTCTAAGGCCTAGCTGATCACAGTGCTCATGGGGATTCCTCAGAAAGAAGAACCTTCTTCTGTCCAGAGTAAATGTGAGCAACAATCTCCAATTTATATTGATCCAGAAGGTCTCCTGATGAACTCTGAGAATATAGGAAAAGCAAGAACCTTTCTGTCAGACGTCCTGTGGGCACCCTGTGCCCAGCCCTAATCTGCCTTTTCTCTCATCAGTCACCTGGGACTTGTATTACTTCTGTAAAAATCTAAGATTTTCCCATTTAAGTCTTCAGCTGAATATTTCAGAACTGGTTCCCACCTGCTTTTTGTTTAGGAGAACTGGCAGCACAAACAGGATTTCTTTAATTTAAAAAAAAAAAAAAAAAAAAAGTACAGAAAAAAAAAAAAAAGTAGTCCAGTAAAAAATATATTTCTCTGTTGTCTATTAACTGGGTTTTCAAATTTCAACAGTGGACAACCTTAGTGGAAAACATTCAGGGAGATACATAGGAAAGGGACAGCCAGAAAAGCAATTAAGGAGTTGGCTCAAGAGACAACCATGCAAGCTGCTGGCAGACACAGCAAGCTTTAAACTGCCTGGAGTTTGTCTGCCTGCACAATTGAGATGGATGTGAGTGAATGGAGTAAAATGAGAAGAGGAACACTGAATGGACAGTGGAAAGTGTTACACTGACACACTACTAATGAAATTACTTGAGAAACAGTTGCTTTAATCACAACATGTGGAAATAAATGAAGTATTGATGAGATTCAATAGACACACTGATAGAGCAGTGGTCAAGCAAGTACTGGGGACGATCTCCAAATGTGTCAGACCCAGCCCGTAGCCCTGCTACAGGATAGAAGTTAATCTGGCAGGGTCACACACACACATTTTCTGCCACCCATGACATCTGACTGATGCTGCAACAAGGTGTTTCATGCCTGGGTGGCTCTCTGCTGCTCAGCCCCCTCAGTCCTTGACCTATTTTGTGTCCCTTGCTGCAAACCTGTAACTCTCTGTAGGCAGGGCAGGCACTAGCTGTGGCATCCCCTCCAACTCCCTGCCGTGCCGCGGCCTTTGCACCTCCATGGCCAAGGCTCAGCTGTACCCACAAGTTAGGCCGTGAAACCACCAGCTCCTACCTCCCCCCAGCAGCCAGGTGTCCCTTTGTCACCTGCAGGATAGGGAGCATGGCTAGGAGAAAAGGGGACAGTGAGGGGAGAGGTCCTCAGGGCGTAAGAAGCAGGCAGGTAACCACAGACACCATGGGGGTGGCTCTGAGGACCCCCCCCCACCACCATCTTGAGTGGAGCTGGGCCACCTGGTGCCTCAGCAGTGGAGCAGAAGGACCTGTTCCTTCCCCTTGGGAACTAAGGAACTAAGCTGGAGGCTCCATCAGGTGGAAACAAGTAATCAGGCTTGAGTTTTGTCATTGCCTTCAGCTGGGAGTCAGTTATATGAGGGCTGTGTATACAGGCCCCAAAGGTTAGGGCCTGCTAGCTCTGCTTGGTTGCTGTGTGCTCTGTCACAGTGACTGGAGCAGAGGGGGAAACACTTGCGGTTTAGAAGTTGTCCTGCTTAAGAAGGTAAAATTTGTATATGTATCTTTTACAGTGTTGCCTTCTTTATGTGTTCTCTGTTCTTTGACTGTGTGTCTTTGTTCTGTGGTATTTTCAATGTTATATTGCATGGTATCTACCAGTTACCTCATGCCAGAAGCAAGCTGTGAAAAGTACTGAATTTGGTAATTATTCTTTCTCAATTTTTTGAGGTATAAATGTTTTCAGTTGTTCTAGTTAGATTATGGGGGCTGAAGCTGACTGGTTCATCCTAGCAAGGATCAGACAGGAACTATATATATAATATATTATATGTATATATATAAAAGCTATTTGGGCATGTCAAATACACTCATACATGCTCACACTTAAGCAGTGATAGAAAGACAAAGGATTTATTAACGAGTTAGCTTGTTAATGTTCTGACCCCAGGCTGATGACAAAATGCTTTTCCCATTTGTTGATGTTGTAGGTACTTAGCCAGGTCATGGTTAGCATCCCATTGGTATCATTACAAGGTCAGATCTTTGCCTTGTTAGTCTTACAACAATGTATAAAGTTTTTGTTTATTTGTTTGTTCGATTTTGTTTTTAATATATATATATGTTAGAAACTCGAGTGAGGAAAATTATATATTTTAAGACTATATTAAACTGCTTTCATTGACTGCTGCATGGGTTCTCAAGATAAATATTTCCTTTTTAGGGTTTCCCACTGTTTCTGCACCCAAGCTGAAGCCTCTTTTATGTGGGGAAGGTTTTTCTTCTTTGAAGACTTGGCAAATATTTGCCCAGCATGGATGTGAAGGAGACACACATGTGGTAAGTGTCCTCTCAGAGGCTCCTGCATTTTTTTTTAAGATGAACTTCTAGCTCTAAGTGGTACCAAGTATTAGTCCATGGCTCTGTTCTGTATTTATGAGAAAAGTATATAAATTGTGTAAATTTTGTTGTGTACAAACCCTATTTTTATGTAAGTGAGTGAGTTTTCTTAAAAAAAAGAGGGAAGTTGTTATTTATATAAGAACAAGGTCAAAGAAGAGATTTTCCTTTGAGTATGATATAGCTGAACTGACATGGAGTAGGTAAAGGGTGATTGGAGCAGGATCTGAAGCTGACTAGAAGTGTCTTAAAGATGGGGAGAGAGTGTTGTAGGTTCTTGTGTGGTTGTCCAAAATAAAATAAGTGTTTATTTTAAAAATGAAAATTGTGAAAACTTAAGTGGGAATTTTAAATGAGAAAATGGCTTAGTGGTAGGTATTGGATTGCTAAGGGACTGTGAACCTGACTGAACCTAATGTATTGATTAAGGTAATATTTTTCTTATCTTGGTCTTTACACTTATTTAGCTTCCATTCAATTAAAAAAATAAATCACTATATATGCTCTGCAAACATGCTCTCCTGTGAAAGACATGGTGTGTAATTGGAGTAGATGCTAGGAATGTGACCAGAGTGCAAGCCTCTGTTCTGCATGGCACTGAAGTTTTTACTTAAGTTAAGCAATTGTCTAACAGCTCTGGTGGCTTACTCAGTCTGTACTATGTGGAGCCTAATGCTCAAAACTGTAAGATGCTTTGAAATATTAGTTGATTTATTTAACAGAACTCTTCACTTGGAAAGTGTTCAGAAAAAAAATTAAATGTTCTGTCGAAATATCAAATGTTCTGGAAATGTGCTTAATAAAGAGCTTGCAGGAATTGGATTAGCAAGCAAGAAACTGCTTTATTGATTCACTTTATGTATACGCAAAAAATGTTATTGTGACATGAGCTACTTCATAAAAGATTGCTTGTCTTCTCCCTGCAGTTCCAGGCAGCAAGTTGAAAGTGAATTTCCACCAGATAAGGGGCAGTTCAAACTGTTATGTGTATGATTATACAGGTGGGAGGCTGTAAGAAAACAGCAGGGCTTGCTGGTTAAAAGTAGTGTATTACAGGCTGTGGATAGAAACCAAAAACTAACTTTTCCTTGTGCTGTTATTGACACTCGTGTTATTAAAATGTTTTTGCATGTTCAAGTGCTGGCAGGTATGTAACTTTTAAGCCATGTGAATAGCAGATGTTGTCTCCCCTAAAATTCTTTAAATGTAAAACAGTGACTGTAAGGTGGTTAAAGTTATTGCTAGCTTCCTTTCACCTGGAGTGCAGTAGATTTCCAGTTGTACTGTGAAGAGCAGAGTAGTGTGAACAGTTGAAAAGCTACTGAGCAGCATGGGTCTGTAGGCTGAACAACCTACCCAGGTTGGACGAGCTCAAACTTCCTCATCTTTCAGGGAATGTGGCTGATATGGCTGATCTCGCTCTCACACTGAGTGCTGCTGCAAGCAAAGGAGAATGCTTGCTGTGCAATTTTGCATACCTAATCCTGTGAATGATTTTCTACTCCATTTCATAGCAGAGCTTGCAGTGTCTGAGCTTGTACTAAATACACAGGGCAGTTTTGGATATGTCTGAATTTCTGCTGAGTGTTTGACTGCATACAGTCCTGGGCACTAACTTGAAGTTCATGTGGCAAACCATTAGGAGGATACAAACTTTCATCATGTTTCTCATCCAAACAATAATACGGTTAATCCTATGCAAAATGAGTTCATCGTGCAAAAATGAGTTGTCTATATAGGAATCATTACTGAAATTTCTGCTATTCATAGGTTCTAAAAAATGCCTGACAAGGTAAGCCACACAGCTTTGTGCTCTCCTCATTCCTACAGAGGAGGTGGCCATTGGGTCCCAGCAGGGATGTCAGCATCAACCAGTATGTGTTTTGAGACACCAGGAAGTACAGTGTTCTGGGACAGTATTTCAGGAAAGCATATGGCAATGTCTGCCGCTGCTGAAAGGCATTGGTACAGTGAATACTGCATCAGGACTTTCCCAATGCACACTGTTTCCCCACACGGTGGATTCTAGTGCAAGGTTACTTTGCATTTTCTCCTTTAGCCTTAATAGTTTTTTTCCAGCTAACCCAAGCAGGATTTGAGTTCCCAGTCATCAGCATTAAGGTCTGGTAGCTAGCCTCATGAGTAAGTAATTGAACTTCTTACACAAGGAAGCCATTGGATGCTGTTTTCTATTGTAAGGTGTATTTTAATTCTGATATTTTTAGAAGTTACCTTAGATAAACAAGCTTACTTTGGGGCAAACATGGTAGTTTCTGCTAGGATGATGAATGAGCTAGTACTTCAAAGCAAATCTGGTGGAAAGGGGCTACTTCTCGCTATTTTGACTTTTTGAACTTGCATTAGAACCTGTTTTGGTGTGCTACTCTGAATGTTGAAATTTCTGCCTCATTGCTGCTATGCTGTCCACTTTGAGTTTGTAATTGAATGTCAAAACAGATTTGAGTGGGCCTCAATTTAAGGAATAAGGTGGAAGTATGACATTTGCATTCTGTAGTATAGTTCTGATAATCTCACAGGATAGGTAACTTTTCTTACAAGAATCTCTTATGCTCATTTGCTAGAGAGCACTTACTCAAGGTAGTATAAATAACTTGGTTTCTAGAGACAGAGTATTCTAATTTATTTGATATCCCTAGTACATTGGATAACTGCACAGAAGTGGGAACTTTACTTAAAAGCAGCTTCCATAGGGTTATCTGGCCTAGCAAATTTCCTCTCACTCAGGACCCAGGAGATGTGCATGTTTCCTTTCAAAGTAGAATGACATCATTATGCAGAGAAATATCTTCCTTTAATTTCAAATTATGCTTGTCTTCTAGTTTTTAACCAGTGCTACATTTCCTGCACCACGTCATCTGTAGGTGGGATTATTATAAGCAAGAATTGCTAAAGCATGTAAATACCAAGCATGGTTATTCACACAGTCAGGGGTTGTCTTCCTTAATAGAAGCTCCCAATGCTGCACTTTATGTTGCTCTCCTGCAGTGCAAGCATTTTGGATCAGAAGAGGCCTGCCATTTCACATGTGCTCCAGCTGTTCCCTTCACCCACCACAGGCAAGACCAGTACTTTCATTAATTTTTAATGAGTTCTGTGTGTGGAAAGCACAAAAAGAGGTGGTGGAAGATTTGTTAGATTGCTTCCAGCATGGAGAAGATGGGTGAAATCCCAGAAGGGCCCAGGAAAGTTTTTCACAGCTGCATGAAATAAGGAGCTGCAAGGCTGACTCACTTCTGACTGCTCATTGTGATGGACTAACAACAGGGCAGTGTCTCTGTCCCTGATGCTCTTGTTTCTGAGAGCACTGAGGATTTATGCCTGGTTTTCTAGTTTCCTTTTGTTCTTGCTCTCCTGTTTGCTTCACTCTTTATTTTCTGTTTTTGATTTTGGACTTACCATCCTTCAGGGACATTTTGCATCTTAAAACTGCCTGGGGTTCAGGGCTCTGACTGACGCCCCCGTGATAGCTGGTCATGGTGTTGATGCAGGTGGCAGTCAAGCAAGCTAAATTCAAAACAGAAACCAATGCCTGGGTTGACCTAACTGTTATGCTCCTCATGCAGGAGGAGGTAAAGCTGTGCCTAGTGGAGCCAAAGCAGCAGTGAAAATAGTGTGTGTTCATAAGGACTGGTCTGAGCAGAGTACCTCCACCATGGCAGCAAGCACACTGCATGCATGTGCCCTGCCTACCCTTGGCAGCTCTGGGTGCCCCTTTTCCTGGGGTATATATGCACTAGAGCACTGTGATGTTAATTGTCTTCTGCCAACATCTTGTCCCTTCCATCTGACAGAGCCCTCCCAGAACAGGTATGGATCAATCAGACTGTCCTGACAGTGCGGCTGATCTGTAGGCATCACACTCATGTCCAGAAATTCTAACCTGGTGATGCTTGGATTCTCAGCCCATACTATATCTGAAGTAAGGCTCGCAGAGCAAGGCTCCTGCTTTGTTCTGAAGTCCTGCTCCAGCCTACAAAGAACTAGTATGCTCATGATAGCAAACCTGAATACCAAGCTGTTCCTGACTAGTTGCACAGCAATTGTCAGAAAGCTTGCTGACAATAGCAAACATTTGCTGGCCTGTGTACAGGAATATCTCAGCTCTGGGCATGCAACCAGCAGAGCATGTAAGCTTCTGTTTCTTCCATTTCTTTCACCCTTCTGCTTCAAATAATCTTCAGAGAAAAGGATTCAGAACCTTCATGTCAAAGTGCTATACCCAGTGGTCACGAAAAACTGCAGGATAAATGAGATCTGTCTTGTAGCAGGGCTGAGAGGAGTGGGCATTGTTGTTCACATCACTTGTTTCACCCTTAGAATGGAGCAAGCCCTGGAAAAAGTGGCACTGAGCTGGTAAAGATGAAGCAAGTAGCATTTTAAAGTCCCTACCCTCTAGTTATGCCCGATCAGTCTTTATAACATCGGCTCTCTGGGCAGGGGCTACAATGCCACTGCACTGATCAATGCCATTGTCATGGATGCAACATGATCAGCCTAGCTGGCTTCTTCATCTTGGTGGCAGAGCACAGGTGCTTGGCTCTTATGAGAGGGGATGTTTAGACCTGGCTTCAGGGATGATTTGAATAAGGGAGGGTTTTTGTGACAGGCCTTGGAGGGGAGAAGTTAGGTAAGAGGTAGCAGAGAGGCCTCCTGTGCCTTGCAGCTTGTTCCTGGGACTGTGCCTGTCTTTTGTGCTTGAGCAGCCTGTGTAAGGAGCACAGCTGTAATCAGAAGGAGGGGATATAGTGTGTGGTGTCCATACTACTGGGTAAAGGGAGGAAAGTGAGCAAATGAGCACACAGCTATGAAGTGTGTCAAAAATAGACCGCTTCCCTTTAGCAGCCTGGTGACAACCTGGCTTGAGGTTCAGGTGTTACAGCTAGCAATCAGCTGTGATGCTGTCGCGTTAAAGGGGTGTA